AATATAAATAATAAAAGAAAATAAAATCAACACAATTTATCTTTTTTTTTTTTACAAATAATTATTTCTATCTTTTGACAAATAATTGACCTTAATGTTCTCTTAATTAATATTTCTCCACATATTTAAAGTTATACTAATCTTCCACATATTGACATATTCCCTTTCATGTACTTGAATCTGAACAATATGTTTAAAATTATAATCTTCATTAACTGGTAGTATTAAAAATGAAGATTCATCGACTAATTCAATTGAAAATTCATCATAACGACATTCTTTGTAAAAAAAGTTATATAATACTACATGTTAATATAAGTTCATCTTGTGTCATAATTAAAAATAGAGGTCCTAATTTAAAATTATGAAGCATGATTTAAAATATCAAATATTCTTTTAATCACATTGTTTGAGGATATATGACGTTCAAAATTTTTATTTTCTTTTTGAAGGTCATTACCATAACTTATAATTTTTTTTAATATATGTTTCAAAATTTTACATTTTAATATTAAATTTTATTAAAATTAAATAGTTATATTTTAAGAATTAAAAAAATTAAAAATATACAAAATTTAATAATATAAAAATCATTTTAAATATTTAATGATTAAAAAAATAAATATTGATAAATTATATATTAATTAATAATAATAAAATACAAGAGAAGAAAAAAAAAAGAAATAAATGAAACAGATGAATAAAAAGACAGACAAAAGAGAGATAAAGAAGAAAGAGAGAGAAAGAAAAAGAAAAAGAAAAAAAATCGAAAGAAAATGATAAAGAAAAAAGAATACCAGAAGGGAAAAAAAAAAGATAAGTGAGAGAGATGAATAAAAAAAATGAAAAAATGAAATTGAGAAAAAAAAAAAAAGGAAGAATGATGAGAGAGAAAAAATAATAAGAGAGAAAAGCAACAAATGCCAAAGAAAAGATTTAAGAGAGAAAAAAAAGACTATAAATAAAAAAAATATATAAAAAAGTCATAAAAAATTTCAAAAGTCTCACAAAATTTACTATTTAAAATAATTTATTAAAATTTATATTTTTAAATATCAATAAATATTTTTTAAATAAAAAATCTTAATTAAATATTATCATATTTTAGTGGACTTTAAATTTTTTTTATTGTCTAGATTTAATATCACACAGTTTTTTTATATTAAAAAATATCTTAATAATTAAATACCATGACTTTTTATCATTATAATTTTTTAAAAAATTAATTGAAATTATAATTTAATACAGTCCTTGATTGGACATTTGAAGGCAAATGTGAACCAGCGTCCCTTCAAGGCTTTATCCCATTTTAAGTAAAAATGATGGGTCATCATAAACTGAGAGTGATTATACAAAACAAAGACGTAACGTAAGTTGGTGAAGTGGGTCACGTGACGCAATGTGGTGGGTAGCGTTAATTTGAAATTTCTAAAATCTGATAGCATGTATGGGTCAATAAATTCATTACAGCTGATTCGTTTTTTTTTAGAACAAAAGGTAACTTTGGTGGAACAAGTTATTTATTTATGTTTTACCATCTTTGTTGGAAATTGAGATTCTCAAATGTTTAAATCTCACCCTTAATTCTGCCAAATTATTTCTTTATAATAAAAATCTTATATATATTATATTTATGAATTTTATGAAATTTTCTTAATTTAGTTCCCCTCCCCCTTTCTATATGAGTTATGTATATTTTTGTCATATATTATTATATTACTCGTTCCATCTTATAATAGATATTGTTTTATATTATTTTATGTGTTAATCACTTATACATTGTCAGTGTAAATTTTTTTTTACACTGACAATCAATTACATCTTTTAATATCATATCACTGTTAAAAATAAATATACTTACAGTGACATGACATAATTAAAAGATATAATTGGTTGCCAATGTAAAAAAAACTTTATACTGGCAGTATATAGGTGATTAACTCTTATTTTATATAAATTAAAAAGAGTTAATAAATAGATAAAAATAATAATAATAATTTTATAAAGTTAACTTTATGGTTAATCATTTTTATTATAAAAATGTAACAAAATAATTATTTTTAAATAATATTATGAAAGATATAAATAAAAAATAATAATTAATTTTATATTAAAAAGTTAATATAATACTTATTTTAAAACTTATTTTTCTTAGAATATGACATTTATTATGCACTTTGTTTTCATTTTCTTTCGCTTGTGTTATATATAGTGACTAAATATTATGTTTCTTCACAATTTTATTCAGTGGATTGGGATCAGAACAGATTTGTCATTGCCCTCAGTTTGGGAATTCTTTTGGCAAATATTAGTTTACTTTGTGATAGAGGATTTTTCACATTATTGGATGCATAGGATGCTTCATTGCAAATGGGCTTATGAGAAGATCCACAAGGTTCATCATGAATACACAACACCAATTGGGCTCTCAGCACCTTATGCCCATTGGGCCGAGATTATCATATTGGGTATCCCCTCATTTCTAGGCCCAGCACTAGTTCCAGGGCACATAACAATCTATTGGTTGTGGTTCATTTTGAGACAACTAGAAGCAGTTGAGAATCATAGCGGGTAAAACTTTTATTTCTCAAGTAATTACTATAATACTCTTTTAACAAATTCACACTTATTAAATCTATGTAGTATGTACATAATGTCAGAAAGTATCAATGTAAGTACAAAGAAGAAAACTTGTATTCATATGTTGGGAACAATTTGCATATTTCTTGATTTTGACCTAAATTTTCCTTGACACTAATATTTTCTACACTAAATTTTTTACTTTTTAATTCACATTCATTTTGTTACATGTTAAAGGTATGATTTTCCTTGGAGTCCCACAAAATATATACCATTTTATGGAGGGCCTGCATATCATGACTACCATCACTATGTTGGTGGAAAAAGTCAAAGCAACTTTGCCTTAGTGTTTACCTATTGTGACTACATTTACAGAACTCATAAGGTAACCTTCGTCATTTTAAATGATTGATTTAAGCATCACTTACATATTTTAATATATGTTCTTCTACTTCAAAATTTTTAATAAAAAAATAATTTATAGGAATTATTCAATATTTCGACAAAAGATAACAGAGCTATAATATCTTATTTTGTAGGGGTACCAATACAGAGAACAGATGTGCAAGAAAAATTCATCTTACAACATTGCTCAAAATTACAAGATGGAGTAGTTGTTTGATAGGAAGGGCCTAAATATACTCGATAGAGAACAAAAATTTAATGATTAAAAGATTTTATACGATGGAGTTAAATTATTATTATATTTACCTTTTAATATAATTTTGTTTTAATCTTCGAAATCAGGATGAAGACATGTATAAAGTTATTTTTGGTAATTATTTGGTTATAAATTTGTATCTTAGGACATCAGTGAAAAATATCAATATTAGTATTTATTTTCTCTATAATTTTCTTATAGTCTTTTAATGTAAATTCTTGGAGTAGTGATAATATATAGCTTCCTAGTTTTTATGTTTTCAAAAGGTTTTATGATAAATTAATAAACATGAGATAAATAGTTATCATCTATTTGAAGTTCATGATATATAATATGAAAGTAAGATAAAATGTGATGCGATAGACTTTAACATGAGACATATTAGTCATTTCATCACTTTTATCCTCATTCTTCTAAGTTCTTGTCTTGATAATCCTTACCTATTCCTTGAATAATAAGCTTGGTAGCCCTTGGATTTATTTGTCCAAAGAAGAAAAAATGAGAGTAGTTATAAAAAGCACTCCAACACTCAAGTTAGCATTTAGATGTAAATAAATCAATGACAATTAATGTTGTAATAAATGCAAAAATATCTTGTTCTATTTCTAAATATCATTATTTATACTAATTTTACTGAGTCTTGACCTATCATTAATATTTATAATACTTTTAATAATTCTTTAGACTTTATTAATCATCGAAACATATCTAAGAGTTTTCAACTTTTCCCTTCTACTACATTTATTTAGTATAAGCCCTATCTAATGTTTAATATACATTAAAATAATAAATCAGATCACATCATTATATTATATATAATGTATTTACATATATCAATAAAATATTTTATAAGTTATGTTTAATTAACAAAATTACGAAAGTGATAGCAAAACCCAACCTACAATGGATTGATTCACGCTTAGGCAAGGTCAGGGATTCGAATCTTGTCTTGTGTATGCAGTCGCGTTAAATCTTGGGGCCAGCTATCCCACCATTGAGGTACCTCCAATGTAGAGAGGAGATTAGTTACTATTATCGGCAGTGGATACTCCAGGAACGAATCAAAAACCCAACCTACAATAAACATAAAGTTGAGTATTAATTTACAGTGAAATCTCAAGTTTAGTAATTATCTACTACATTTGAATGAAGTAAAATTAAATGCAAGATAAGTAGTATTAATAATTATATTTAGTATTTACAAACTATTTTTTATTATATGATTTTTAATGAACAAAATAAAATAAAAAAGCACATTTAAACAGTATTTTAAGTCTGAACCTAACTTAATTTGCTCAATCTCTTTTTTCAAAAAAATAATTTTCTTTTATATCATCCAATAAATTTTGTATGACTCCAAAGGTATTGCTTTTAAATTTAATATCATGATTATAACTAAGTATCTGTAGAAGTTAAACAACAACCACAAGTATATAGTAAGCTATATTTGATTCTCTTGTTATTTTAGTTTGAGTTACGTATAAAGTAAATGGTCCAAACAAATGAATATTGTTTGTTAAAAACATTTCATTCTGTAAAAAATATGTATTTTATATAATTCATTAAAACAAAAGCCCGTCTAGCTCAGTCGGTAGAGCGCAAGGCTCTTAACCTTGTGGTCGTGGGTTCGAGCCCCACGGTGGGCGTTTCTTGTTGTATTTCTTTATTGTCCTTAATTCTACTAATGGGTTTTTCAGCTTTTGTAACTGGCCCAAAACAATTATTAAAGCCCTCTTAGTAACACATTAGTTTGTTATTTTTCTTTGTGCCTTTTCCTGTTTTCATAACTCACCAAACCATTTTTAAAACCTCTCTGTTTTTTTTTTGTTTTTTGTTTAACGTTTAAGTTTATGCACAAAAATTATGAAAATAATTGATATTTTTATTTTTCAAAGTATTTATTACTTATTTTCCTGTTATACTTTTTAGATGGTTAGAGAAGAAATAAATATATTAAAAAATGAATAAACACATTATTCAATAAAAATACATTAATCATCAAAGATAAAAATGAAGAAAAAAATTAATAATTCATTAATTTTTAAAAAGTGACAATAAAAAAAAATAATATCAAAACAATTATGAATAAAAAAGGAGTATCACTTTAGGGTTTTTTTGTGTAATTTTTCTATGGTCCAGAATTCTTGTGCGTGGTTTCTTTTTGTAACTCGCCTAAACGATTTTGGAAGCTTCCTACTTAACACTTTAGGTCGTACCGTTGTTGTATTTTACTTTTTCATTATAAAAAAAAAGCTTAAATATGTTTTTAGTCCCTCAAATTTAAGACAAATTTGTTTTTGATCTCTCAAATTTAAAACTGTTGTTTTTAGTCCCTGTAATTTTCAAAAATTTTATTTTAGTCCCTTAGATTACCAATAACATATTTGAAAGTGACTAATTAAGACAGTTATGCAATATCAACCAGATTAAATATGATATTTTCACTAATAGAAACACAAATAGGTAGATTTTATGCAATAATGTTTGATAAATTTCTTAACAAAATTTGAATATAAGGACTAAAATAAGATATTTTGAAATTACAGGGACTAAAAATAACAATTTTAAATTTGGGGAACCAAAAACAGATTTACCTTAAATTTGAGGGACTAAAAACATATTTAAGCCTAAAAAAAAACCCGCATAATTAACCGAAAGTCATCAGTAGAAATAGTTTGATAGTTATATTTCTTGATTAAAAATCAAAATTCAATCTCTATCTTAAATTTGAAATTATAATTGAAAATAATACTTTATGGGAACCAATCCGATGAGAATCACACAGTTAAGAAAAACAAACCCATAACTAATCTAAAACACCGCTGCACGTTTTAGATTTAAGATGTGCACCAAATCTCGTTGAAATTCAGAGTTATTTCCCAATATAGCCATTTCAAAACCTTCAAAAATGGATGGAATAATACCCTGAAAATATTTTAGCTGAAAATATGAAAGTTATTCTCTTTTTAAATAACAAACTATAGCCACTAACATGTCTATTATGTTCTCTCCCAAAGTTACTAATAGACTATTCTCGCATCACTTGAATGACGTCAGCCTCACTAGCACAACCAAAACCAACATCATTATCTAAAAGTCTATAAAAATTATCACAAAAATTCGGAAAGATCCAAGTCTAAGCAGCAAGCAACTAAAGGCTTGTGTCATTTCAGCTCATCCTAGTTTCTGATTCAACTTTCATATGATACCGTGCAGCTCTAATCAAGTTGTAGAGTGACTGAACCAACGAGAGAGAGCAAGTCCCAGAACTTTTGAAGAGTGCATAAATTAGTGGTCAGTACGTGCACGTGCATTGGCATTTGGCATGCTACTAGTACGATGGTGGTGGATTAGGAGGAAGGAAGAGATGGAGATGCCCACAACTTCACTTTCTTGTCAGCACTGGCTGTGGCTAAAACCAAGACTTGTTCATTTCCTGTAAAAGTAACCATAATAATTAAGATGACAAAAAATGACGTGCTGCTTAGCATAAGATACCTTGTAGGCATCATAATGAGTAGAATTTGTAAAAGGTATAGTAATGTTTTTTGGTCCTCCAAGTAGTATTTTTTTTTTTATTTCCTAAAATTTAAAACATGATTTTAGTCCCCAAAATATAAAAAGTTATTATTTTAGTCCTCAAATTTAGAATAAATTTATTTTAGACCTTCAAATTTAAAATTTATCTTTTTAACTCTATAATTTCAAAAAAATATCATTTTAGTCCCCTTAGGGCCAATAATAACATAATTGAGAGTGACATTGAGATAATTATGCAGTATTATTAATTTAATGTGATGTTTTCACTGCCAAAAACATTAGTAAGAGAATTTTGTTCAAAGATTCAGTATTAGATGAGTTTTATTTGACGGATTTACTAAGGAACTTTGAGTAGAGAGACTAAATAATCATTTTTTATATTTTGAGAACTTGGTATTTTCTCACAGTTAATATCAATTTAATTTTTTAGTTATCTACATAACTTTGCCTTATCGTAACACAGATTAGCAAACAGGATACAAGAAACAGATATGTCAGAAAATTTGTGTCAATGATGGAAATTTGTTGACAACAATAAATAAGGTAAGCAACCAAAATGAATCGAGTCAGATTAGCAGCTTTACCCATTGGAATTGTTTTAGGAGCCCACGTAATGCAAGAAATGTCACCTGCAAGTGAAGAAAATAATCAATGACTTGAGGATCATAGATAGAAAATTACTTGACTTTTTAGTTGCAAAGTAAAGATAAATGAAAGGGTTGAAGCTTGGACATACTATCATGGGCTTTCTCAGCTGTATCCAAAACCTTTCCAGTCTCAACACATAACCACTGCAATGTGGAACCATGGGTCGCAGCCAAAATTTTTCCATCAGGGGAAATACTCAGGTGGTCATAGTGCAATGTAGTACCAGAAGAATCATGAAGAGGGATTGGGAACACCTTCAGCGTCTTTGGATCCTCATCAAGATGATAACGAACTTCAGGATACAAGGAAAATAAAGGTGAGAAGAGTTGAATTAGTTAACCTAGTCCTTAAGACAGCACATACGAACATTTAAATAAGAACCCTACTCAAATCCCCTGGAGGGAAGAATACCTTTAATTGATCAAATAACAAACACATTTATCAGGCCAAAAAAACATGCAAAAGGAAGCATGCCCATTTTCAGCCATAGAATCTCGTCAAAGTACTATTTTGAATTCTTCATTAACAATATCACGTATCTTTTGTCTAGAACCTTTAAACTACTTGCAACTGAATGTTGACATCAAGAGTTTGCTAGAAAAATAAAATCAATTCATTAAGTGAAAAATAATCATTTTTTAAAATGGAGTAAATTACACTAACTCCCCCATGAGGTTTCTTGAGATTGTACATAACTCCCCACTTTTTTAACATTTACAACAACCTTCTTATGGAGGTACATGGTGTAATGTTTTTCAAACAATTAAAGAGTGTTTGTACAATGTATAAGCAGTGTCAGTGTAGTGTTTTTCAAATAATTAAGAAGGGATATTGGGGGATTAAAAAGGATTGGGTATCAAAGAAAATTTGACAAAACTTTTAAAATTTGCTTACCATTGATATTCCATATTCTCATTGAACCATCCTTGGATGCGGTGATTATTTGCTCAGAGTTTGGTGTAAAGCATAACCAAGTCACTGCACTCTGACACAAGTAATAAACATAAATCATGGTCGAAAAGAAGATAAAGTGAACATCATCTTTATTCTTCTTGTTTAAATTGTAAGTCTCTAACTCTCTTACACACAGTTAATATGCCTACATGCAAAAATGGGAACATCATATTTATTCTTTTGTTTAAATTGTAAATCACACACAAATGCGTCTGCAAGTACACATTCATGAAAAAGTGTCATGCACAACATGCTCATGAAATTTCCATTAATCCAAGATATTCTAATGTAATACATGAAGTTATAAGACTGTACTGCATCAAAATATATGAAAATTAATTAATAATATAACTCTTATATAAATAAAAATATAATGCATTTGAAAGAAACTATAATTTTATGGCTTGAAAAATCTACATATGTAAAAATAGATGTTTAAATTAAATTTCAATCACCCCAAAATAATAATGCTAATATTAAACCTTATGCCCCTTCAGCTGCATGACATTCACAACTTCCTTCACAGATCCATCCTTGGCATATACAATCTCCCAGATCTGCCATACATAGTAAACAAGAAAAAGTGGAGAATACATTACAAAATCTTTCAAAACAGAAGCAGTAACATACTGATAAAAGTTCTCAATCAGAAAATATAATAAAAGGTGAATTTACTATACTAATGATGTATTGAGAGGCTCCCTGAGGTCATCTAACAAATTATTAGACAATTGTATTAATCTCTATTAATGTCAAGGATGAACTAAAAATGGTTTCAGTATTAACCTCAGTTTGATATGGCTTACAATATTAACCGTCCATTAATTTCAGTCACACAAACCATACAAAATCAAGTATTCAGAGGATATTTAATTTAACTGATTTTAACTTTCACAAGTTTTATTGTACAGTGCAGCTTCTAGTGATATATACTTGCAAGTTGCAACTATCTTGGTTCTGGAGGAGGCAAATTTATTGAAAGATTACAAACAAAACTTAAGAATTAACAAATTTGTTGATCATTACACACAAAGCTTTCCTTGACAAGCTAGACCTGTGATCTATTGTGTTTGCATTACTTCAACAGAATATTACTTGAAATTATTCTAAATTTTCAATTGGCGTCAACCTTTTAAATTTGTCTAGATCATGCACTGCCTAAAAATATGATGTCTTCTGACATCAGGAAAATTGTTGACTTCAAGAATCCATTTTCTTCTTTCTCCATCCTCTAGTCTTCAGTCATCCCCCAACAGACTCACTAAATGTCTCCAAGTCATCTTAATATACCCAAAGAGTTGTGAGGGTACATGTCAGGTTTGTGAGTCAGATCCAACCCGATTGCCCATGCCCAATGGCTTAAATAGGTAAGGGCCCGGGTTTGAGTTGCGTCTTTCCTAATGGCTTAGCTTTTTGGCATTGTAGTAAGCACTCTTACAGGTCAGGCTCAACCTGGCAGCCCTTGTTCAGTGGCTTAATTCTTTAATAGGGAAGGCCCGTGTCTAAAGCATAGTGTTGCTAATAGCTTAAGCTGTTGCCATGGTGGTAAACGCTCTCAGTCATAACATTTGGTATTAGCCCAAAGGATTGCAAATTTGCAAGGGTGCATGTTAGGTCTGTGGACTAGGTTCAACCTGATGGCCCATGCCTGATGGCTTAAATAGGAAAGGACTTGCATATGATGCAGAGGGTTATATGTCAGTTGCGCCTTTGCTAATAGCTTAAGCTTTTGGTATGGTGGTAAACACTCTTGGTCATATCATTTGGTACTAGCCCACAGTGCTGCAAGGGTGCATGTTTGGTCTATGGGTATGGTTCAACCCAGTGGCTTATGACCATTGGCTTAAGTAAGGCAATGCCCACATCACAGGGTGTCATATATCAAGAGTTGTGCCTTTGCTAATAACTTAAGCCATTGGCAAGGTGGGTAAGTGCTCTTGGTTATATCACATCCCCTTTTCTCTTTTTTGTTTTCTGGAAAATATTCTTCACAATCCCAGCTTTTACATTTGTTTTCCTACGTAAATAGATGAACACAGACAACTTGAGTCTCTAAAGTCAATCTTCTTCCTCATTCATTTTTCCTCATTGGTCACACTAATAAAAATCATTTGGGCAAACAATTGTTGATAGACTGTTGATAAAATTAAAGTAAAAGGTTTTGTACATATATATATGTGGAGAGAGAGAGGAAGAGAGAGAGAGAGAGAGAGAGAGAGAGAGAGAGAGGACAATAGACAAGGAAGGTGGTTGGATATAAAAACACAAGAAACATGCCATGTTATTTTTAAGTTAACATGCTCAAAGATATTTTACTGTAAGATTTCCAACTTGTTCACTGAACAACGTTTATAGCAGCCTTGTAACATAAACTTCAGACACACAATAAAAATGAAGAATAACTGTTACTAATCGGTTAAAATATTTGCCATGTTGCTTTCTCCCTTTTTCAATTGAATTGTAACAAATACAAGAGGTCATTCCTTAAGGCCAGCACCAAACGGATGGTTGGCACAGCCTTGTTGCTGAGGTGTAATGATACTGACTAAATAAATCTGGCATTCAACCCTAGCTGGTAAGATAGATTAGTAACTTTTAATAAATTAAACACACTTGCACATTAACGCTAACCTTCACGTCTGCAGTAAATGCTGCTGCTGCAATAAAACGACCATTGGGAGATATAGCAGCCATGGTATTTTTCAATTGATTTGTATCCACATGCCCCACACTCTTCCCAGATTTTCCATGCCAAAGAATGATGTCAGTCCCTGAATTAGAAATCAAATTTAGAACAGGTTGTAGAAAGCCAACATCAAGCATTATATGTTGTCAGCATAAAGACAGTGGCAATAATTTCATTAGCAAATAGAAATATTAGTATAAGACAGTGCATTTGGTTTAACGAGCAGCAGAAATCTCAAGCAAGATTCCAATTTTAGTTAATAACTTATTTTTTTTCTTACTCAGAAATGCCTCATTAGATGCTGTAAGACAATATTGGTAGCTGAGATGTTTTCATTTGCAGTATTTAGAGGTCAAATATATATTGTAGGTTCAGAGAAGCAAACACAAAATAAACAAAAACGTATACTCCATTTAAATCACTTTTTGGACCTTAACCTTTACCCATACAAGCATTTCTTTTTTCCACAAGGTACTTCTAATTAAAATTGAACTTCCCTTCATAATTGCTGCATACTATTAGGTAGAAGACCCTGAATATATAAATAAATTACGAAAGAAAACTTCCGTTATAGATTCTAATGGGAATGATGTTGTAAAGATACCTTCTGAACATGAGGCAATAATTGTACTTCCATCTGCACTGCCATAAGTTGCCGAGGTTCCAAACATAGTTATTATTGACTTTTTATCATGAACCTTGTGATGCTCCCACTTAATTTCCGGGAGAGGAAGCTTTGCTTGTGGTTTATTTTCAGAAGTTTTTGGCTTCTCTTCTCCATACATGTATAGTGAACAACCAGAGAGAGTATGAGATGCCACAACAATGGAGGATGCATCATCAGAAAATGTAACTGCTGTTGGATGACCACCGGCAGGCAAATTAATCCTTAGAAACCTGCAAAAGAGTTGAGATAATAAATTTATAAATATGAAATATGATTGATATTGAGTTGATATGCATATGTATCAAGAGGCTCTTGAAATTCACATACTTGAAACTTTTACTTGAAGCATCATCCAACTTAAATACTCTCACAACTCCATCAGCACAAGCTGTTTTCACAGACAGTTTAAGGTAGGAATGTAAGAAAAAGTTTAATATAATGCTTAATTGCTTGTACTAGTAAAAATAAATAAATCATTATAACAGGTACAATCTAAGGTGGAAGAAACATAGAAAGGAAATTAGGAAACAAGATGCATGAAAAATACAAGTCAACACATGCGATGACTTTGAGACAATAAGGAACATAAAATAAGGAGTCTGCAAATGCTGAGCATTATTTGCAGTTTCTTCATGTCATTCGCTGGAGCAGTTTGTCCACAACTTCAATGGTATATCTTCGCCTCTTAAACATGTTACGGCCAATGGGACAAAATTATGATTATGGCTGCTCAATTCATGGTGCTTTAATTACATATAGATATAGCCCCTTTTTATGCAGAAAGACTGATCAAATCTGTTGTGTTTAAAAGCCATTTTGGTCTTCTTTTGGTTTTAGTTTCTTTATTTTGACAGGTAATTCATTATCCATTTAGTATTTTCTCTCATCTCCCTAATGATATTTCTTGTTTAACAAAATAATAATAATCAACAAGTCAACAGTAGGTCAAGATGGGCTTTTCTCAGTACACAAAATGAGTATAATTAGAATTTTTTTAATTAAGAGATGCACATAGAAGTGGCAACAGATAGGATACTTGGGAATTAGCTCTCAATTCTCATACCCATGTTCAATAAAAGCAAATCTCCTCAGATATATACTTCCATGCAAGTAGCAACTTTAGTACCCAATACCCATAACCATATCCTGTAGACCTGTACGTACCTATATATTCATACCTAGACATATACTTGCATTTAGTCATATGAAATATGTTTTCCTCATAAATGTATTTTCCTTTGAAAAAATAAGCTATACATCGACAGTGCAAAATATTACATTGTCATCCAACAATCACATACCACCGCATCGAGTGACCTTGTTAACTTTTACAATAAATAACTAAAACTTCTTAATAACGAAGAATTGTAATTAGAAGATAGAGTAAAAATATTTTCCACTATCAGTACATAGTCGTTAAACTCTTTTCCTTTTGACAATCTAGTAATTAGGAAAGAGTTTAATAGCTATGCACTGTCAGTGTAAAATTTGTTACACTTACAACCAATCTTAAAATCACCATTGGTAAGATTTTTAAGGTAATTATCGCAACGGTCAACAAACTTACCATACATGATAGTTTGTAATCAGATGATAGTATAAAACTACTTTAGTCAGACAATGCATAGCTTGTTTTGTCGTGAAATAATGCTATACTAGTAAAATTAATAAATAAAAAAATAATTGCATCAATTATAATGCAACATCCAACTGGTTTTGATATCTAACTACAAAGATGAAAGACCGATCTCGTGAATAAGGAAAGCAAAGGTCACAAACGAAGTAAACTCAGCATTGGCATTCAAAGAAAGAAACCTGTGGCCAAATTTCGTCCATCGTGAGAGAAGCATATCCCGGTGACTGCATCACCGTGGCCCTTCAAGGTATTCAAATCCAAGGGATGATGTCGCTTGTTTTGGTCCTGAAGAAAAGGTGAAGCCAAAGTGTAAAATCAATGATAATCAGAAAAGCGGGAAATCGTAATGGATTAATTGAGAAAGCAAGTTGAAGGTTGGGCGAGGGTGGAATTGGAGAAGACCTTGTCGGAGGAATGGGGTTTGGAGAGAGGCTTCTTGGGAGGGGGTTTAGGTTTGGGATTGGGATTGGCGATGGATCGGATTTCGGATTGGCGCTTGCGGAAGTAGGAGTTGAAGAAGAGGAGGGCGATAATGGCGCCCAACACGAGGGATAGCGCTACAATGGGTAGCAGTGGATCCATTCCCGATTACGAGAGTGTGTGTGATGAAAACACGAGACGAAGAAGGGTTTGATTTTGTTAAAGTTTAGGCTTGCTTGGTTTGGTTTGGGTGAAGTTGCACTTGCACTTGTACACCTGGATTCTTAATTAAGTCTCCATCTGGCATCTGCACGTCGTGCCTTCTCACTCTCAGTATTCACTATTCAGTATGCCAATCGCCCTGTGGAGCTCTTACTAGGATACCCCTGGTTATTCTGTTAGATCCAAATTTATTTTATATAGAATTTTATAAATATATGTACATATTTATGGAATTTTGATAATTATTTTTAATAAAATTTTAATTTTATGTTTTATTTTTATATTAATTATATTAAAATATTAAAAATAATTAATTAATATTAATTTATCATTTTTTCTATCATTATCGTTTATTTATTTATTATTATTTTTTTACACTTTAACGTTAAATTCAATTTCCAAACTTTCTATAAACAATATTACTTTTGCTTATATTTTTTAAGTTTGTTTTACGCTAGTCTTTAAATAAAAAATACGAACGATCTCTTTTTTGAGTTTTTTTCTATAATTATTATAAAGAATTTAATAGTTACAATACCCATCTATTTACAGGGTAAACACAAGAGGAAAGGCTTGAAGAAAAATAGTATTAAAAAAAACCAAGCATATTTTAAAAACAAATAACTGTGCCACCATGCACGTTGGACGACTCTAACCATAACCATCGCTCCCGACAAATTCAAGAGCTAATAAAAATAAATGGAAATTCACAGCAAAGATGTAGAGTGTTGATTTTAGTTTTCAATGACTGTGTTTGTTTTCCCCAACTATATGGATAGGAATGTGTTCTTTTAATATTTGTTAATTCTTTGTTGACGGCAATTTTAGCATTTATTTATTTTTTTTAAAATAATCGGTGTTCTCAATTTATTTAATATTAATTATCTTTAATTTATTCTTCTGTAAATTCTTCAAAATTATTGTGACACCCTTACTACCCCAACACATATATTGTAATAGAACATATAAGGAGAAACAAAGAAGATAAAGACATATTTGAGGAAGGCCCTTATACTTAGATATATAATAGAGGCAAGATTGGAGGTCAATCACACTATCTAACATACAATCCCACACCTTGAGTGAGGTTTCTCATTCCCCCTTACCTTGTTGGGTAGAAAAAGATGGATGCTCAACTCTGAGGTGATTTTCTTTCTGCTTCTGTTTTTTGAACTCTGAACATAGAATGCGTACGTGAAAGAGAAAATGCATAAAAAGAAAGAAGCATAAAACTGATAAAAAATTGCACAATTAAATCATTAACCTCTCTTCCCTTAACTCATAGTTAAAACTTACATAACCACATTTACTAACTCCTTTCCCTCTTAATTAAATAAAACATCTAATTAAACCTTTAATGAAACACCTTATTTTATATTCTAAAACATATCAAATAATTAAGATAAATATGAAACGACTCCATTAACTGAAACAAAAATACCAAAAATATTTGTTAAATACTTGTATCATATTTTTATGTAAAATGGGGTGTTACACCTAATGTTTCATTTATTTGTTGGTCGAGTACCTATCAATAAATAAGTTACATAGTTGAAAAAATAAAATTCCTAATAAAAAGGAGTTTAGAAGAAGTATTCAATCTTGAGAAGGGTATCCGATCCTATGTAAGGTATTCAACCTTGAGAAGGGAATTTGGCCTAATATTAGTGGTATTTGGTCTTATGAAGGATAATCATCCATTCAATTGAGGTATTCAACCTTATTCGTTACAAGTACAATATCATTAGCTTAACCTCAAAATCAAGAGAAAGGGATATGTATGATGGAGCATATAGTTTTTACAACTCTATCTATGTATTGTGAACCCATTTGCAAACCAAGTTCATAATAATAATTAAGATTAATCTAATATTGATGAAAGGTTTGAGATATGTATAAAGAGTTATATTCAATATTTATTATCACTTTTGTATTGATACAACAACAATTTAAGTCAATGATTACGAAAGTAAGATAAAGAGTCATCAATAACTTTTACAAAGTTAAAAAGATGAGATAAAAAATCGTTAATAACTTTTTCAGGATTGAATTAGGGGAGTTTAGTCTGTAAAACTTGAAAAGATGAATCAAGAATATAAATGAAAAAAAAATAATTATTCAAAAGATAAAGTAAAATCAAATAAAAAGTAATTCTTTTTAACGATAATTAGAAACAATATTTAAAGATATAAAATGAATTATTTGTTTAAAATAAGATAAATATAATAATAAAATTATTTATTCAATTCCATTTATTATCTAAACAGTGAAAGACGAATTTATTTAATATTATTATAACATATTTAAATAATACATTTCTTTTATTTGTATTCTATTTTAATCATTCGAATACATTTTTTTTCTTCTAAATCTTAATCATTCTATATGTATAAAATAGAATAATATAATTATTTGCTATGTAAATTTTCTACTCTTCTCACTTTTCTTTACACATTCATTTTCATTTAAATGTTTTTTTATCATGAAGAAATAAAATTCATTCTCTTAATATGTAACAATCGTCTCTTGTATTTTTTTTTTTAAAAAAATTAAAATAAACAATCTATTAGTTAAAAACAGTAACTAAATATATATGTGAAATATACAACTGTTACAATTATCATAATTAAAAACAATCCATTTATTAAAAAAATGTTATTTTAATAAAAGTATAATTTTAAATCTGTGTAAAAAACCTGAAAACAATCATTTTAATATAAAAAGAGTACAAGATTACAAATTTTATTTTCCATATAATATTTTAAAAAATTCATATTCTCATGTTCTTAATTTTTAAGCAAAGTGAGTGTAATGTTTTGAACTGATAGATCACTAATTGAATTATGTGTCTTGATGTTTATTAATTTTTTTAAAAAAATATTTATGTCATATATATTTTATATCTATAAATTTTAATAAAATTCATTCCATGTTTAAAAGAAGACTCTAAAAGAATTGTAGTATTGAACAACCAAATTATAGACTAGTTGATCAACATAAATAATATAGTTTTAAATTAAAAATTTATTATATAAATTAATTAAGTAAATTGTATAATAATAGAGCATCTTAATTTAATAATCACTAATATTTAAATAATTATATTCATCTGGGTTAAGTTTCACCTTATTTAAAATTATAAATAAACTACAAAATAATTTAATTATATAGATCGTATTTATCAAATTACCCCAGTAGATATACTAGTTTGGTTGAGTGGTAAATCAATGATAAATTCAATTGGTGGGATTTGGGATCAATTCCCACGTGCTACCATTTTACAACATACTTTACTGCATGTTTATTTTCTAAAATTTGACTTGAAGAACGCACTGACATGGAATAAACTTGGAGCTTCAAATATAACATTCAGCAGAGTCTCTGAAGAAGCCCCACCTTAGCAAGATAATCCACACGTTGGTTTGCTTCCCAGAATGAATGCTCCACCCTATAATCCCAATTTTCCTGCAATAGTCGTTGGACAAGAACCACCTCATTCCCAAACCGGTGGGAAAAAGAAACTAGACTAGTTACTAGTGAAACAACCAATTAGAGTAGTAGACCACCTTCATATTAGTATAAAATTACTTAAACATTTATATTTTATCGTACATTTTTTTAATATTTTTTAATAAAAATATTGGGCTGAATATCACTCAGATGTCTAACATGACTTACATGTCCTTGAAGCAACATATAGATATGGGTCTCACACTCGGCAAAAAGTTCAGATTCCTAAGCTTAAAAAAGCTTATCCGGATAAGCTTAGGACTAGATCACGAAGAGTTCCAAACTATCTTGATGTTTTGTTTGAGTTTGGTATTTGACTAGATTTCATACTTTGATGTTGTACATTGATTTTGGCCTATGATTCATTTGTTTTTTCTTTATTTTTACTTTACATTTTATAGTGAGTTTTGGTTTGGTCCTCCACTTGTACCTTTACATTTCTTTATATTTTAGTTCATTCTGATATGTTACAGATGAAAGATGTGGGCTGAGATACTAACCTAGTTAGGATCTCTTGCCCGCATAATGATGCATTAACATATCTATCTTTTCTAAAAATTGTATTACTAAAAAATAATGACATTCTAACAATGTTAACATCTCAAAATTTAACAATCATTTATAGCATATGAATGTATATATAAAACGGAAAAAACAAAATGAAAGCAATATGAGAAGATTTAGCCAAAAACCCAAACAAAAATTAACAAAACCTAAAAAATGGAAGGCTCTAATGATTACCAAAAAAAATCATCATTAATTTATTTATACAAAAATTTCATTCTCAATGACAAAAAAATATGCATACTAGAACAAAAATGACAATAATGCAACCACTTATTTTAAATCTCTCAAAGAACTAAAAGTCTAAAACATATTCTTAAGAGTTGATAAAATAAGGGTAAAATCACTTTTCAGCCAAAAATTATACCAATCCATCTCATGGGTCGTTTTAATGGCCAAAATAGTAACCATTGATTCAACAAAAAGAACATATTTAATACCAATAAATGTGGAGAAGACCCCAAGAAATGCTCCACCAGAGTAAAAAAAATAAAAAATACCCTCACTCGCAGCAAGCCCTGGATAGCCGATCGAAATAGAATTTTAAAAGGCTGCCTTAATGTCAGAATTAAATTTATTTTTACGTTCTTCATATTTTAACTTTCATAAAGACATTTCCAATATTAATCAAATCTATTTTTTTAAATATTCAAAAATGTCATTCCTATCACCATATTCTCAAAAATGAGTAAATATTTAATACTTTTAACCAAATCTAGCTAAATTCTAAGTTACAATTATTATGTATATATTGAACCTTTGACCTACTATTTCATTTTAATTTGAACATTTTTTTAATTGATTGAATTATCTTGTTTTTTTTTTTTTTGGTAAAGTATGAAACTAAAAAACAACAAAGAAGCTCAAGACATAGAGTCTCTTCCTAATGGTAGCAGGATAAAATCTGGAGGACTTCTCCAAAATACAGTGGAACCTAGGTTCCGTACACCCCAACTAGCAAGTGTATGAGCTACTGAATTTAGCTCTTTAGGGATATAGGTTACGTACACTACCCAGACCCAAGCTAACATTCGCTTAACACGACGAATGACATCATAGTGTTTATGTAGGTAGTCCCTATCTGGTGACTGATCTTGCAGCATCGTAACAGCTCCCAGGCAATCACATTCGCAGCTCACTTTCCGAAATCCTCCTTCCCAACAAAGCAATAAGCCCTCCTCCAAGGCCAACAACTCTGCACGTAACGCATCTCCCTGTGAAGCCCCACGCGAAAAGCCCCCCGCCACATACCGGCCCAATCACGAATTACGCCACCCATCCCCATAGTAGCAGACCCACTCAACCAACTCCCGTCTGTGTTTAACTTGACCCACGGGTGCTCTGGGGGCCTCCATAGTGCTTGCTCCACCCCTAAACGCCTCCTAGCATTATACACATTGTTCTCCACCGTAGACAGCAACACTTTCCGACGGATCATCGGAACCCGCCACAGCTCGCCATTAAACAACATGTGATTCCTAAACCGCCAAAGCCACCACAAGGTGATGGATAGTTCAATAACATCCTTGTGCAGAATAATTCCCTTCAGCCACTGAAAACAGTCCATTACTGAGAAAGACCACCCCACGCTGACCCCGCCAGACATCCACACCTCCCGCGAGTACGGGCAGTCCCGAAGAGCATGTAAAATGGTCTCACGCGGGCAAGAACAACGCGAGCATGCACCTGACTCGGCCAACCTCCTATCAGCCCGAACTTGATTCGTTGGGAGGGCTAAATGAAGGCATTGCCACAAAAAAAACTTCACTTCTCAGGGACCATTACCTTCCAAAGCTTCTTCCAAACTTCATCCCCCTCCGATGACCGTACCGGGGTTAGAAAGCGATACCCAGATGCCGCTGAGTAGCAACCCGAGATGTCACCCCTCCATGCAAAGTGGTCCAGCCTCAAGGAGGAACTTACGACACTCAACTGACAGACCGAGTGAACCAATTCAGTAGGGAGGACAGTGTGCAAGATGTTGAAGTTCCATTCTCCACTCTCCCAGCAGTCTGCGACCGTCTTGTTGGTGTCCGCAATGTGAACAAAAGGGACTTTTTCGCACCAAAGCCCAGTACCTGTCCAGTCCGTGTACTAGAGGGATGAGGCACCCGACCCTAGGTGAGGCTGGAATCCCTCACGAAGTGAAGGTAGGGCCTTAATAATACTCGACCAGATTGGAGAAGCACCCCGCCTGGTTTGAGCACACAGGATAGAGTCACCATGAAGGTATAGATTACTGAGGAGATGCACCCAAGGCTTCTGTGGAGCCGATAGCATATCCCAAACTAACTTTCCAAGAAGGGATACATTCACCCTGCGCGCCTCCCTAACCCCAAGGCCACCTAACTCTTTGGGTTGAGTAACAACCTCCCAACTCACTGGAGACCAAAACCTTGTATTGTCAGGCTTCGTCCAGAGCATACGTCGACACGCTTGGTCAATTTTACTACACACTGCTTGGGGAAGCCATAGTGATTGCATACTATAAATAGGGATAGAGGAGATAGTAGACTTCACCAGGCACAACTTCCCTGCCTTATTAAGAAGCTTGGACTTCCAAGCCGCGAGTCTACCCTGGATCTTATCCATCACATCATAAAATTTTGCGCATCTTGGCTGACCATGCATCATGGGGACACCCAAATACCTCCCGATCCGAGCCGTATGACTAATCCCTAGCAGTCCCTCCAACGTATCGATCCTCCTCTGAGAAACCCTTCTAGAACTCACAAACTTAGACTTAGTCAGATTAACTCTCAAACCTGATGCGCGCGAAAACTCCTCCAGGATTGACGCCACCAAACAAGCTTGGTCTTCGGAAGCTTGACCGAACAACAAAATATCATCCGCAAAGAGAAGATGTGAAAGCGGTAACCCCCCAGGAGATAGCTGAATTGATTTCCAATGACCCTCCTGGAGCGACTCAAATATCCTAAGGGCTAGACGCTCCATGCAGAAAACAAACAGGTATGGAGACAATGGGTCTCCCTGCCGAAGGCCACGGGACGGAACAAAGGATGGTAATGCACTTCCATTCCAAAGTAGTGAGATTGACGAGTTCCTCAGCCCCCACATGATGAGTTGAATTGTGATCGTAGGGAAACCAAACTGCACCATCGTAGACTCCAAAAACTCCCACCTGGCCCTGTCATATGCTTTCTCAAGGTCAATTTTCAAGGCCAAAGAACCCCCACCTGAGCCGTCTTTCCGAACAAAATGGAAGGCCTCCTGAGCAATAATACTATGGTCACGAGTCCCCCTCCCAGGGATAAAGCTACCCTGGAAAGGGCCAATGACATCCTGTAGTGGGGGATGAACTATAGCGTACTGTGAAGGACGCCTTTCGGTTGGGGTTCTCGGACACATCGCTTTTGGAGACACAAATGGTGTTAATTCCAAAGGTCAATCATCCAGTTCGCCTCAAAGATTTTCGTCCTATAAGCTTATGCAACGTCGGCTGGAAGGTTATTTCCAAGGTCATTGTGGCTCGCCTTCGACCTATCTTGTTATTTAAATGCATGCAAGGAATTGATTGATTTAAGTATTATGATAGTTAATTAATTGTATATGAACAATATAATTAATTAATGGAACCACAAGTCGGTACAGTTTATAAACTTGCATGATCAAACTGATTTTCTAACTTTTGATTGTGTTAATTTTAAATTTATCAATCTTTTTGTTCTTCATGTTTTGCTCGTGTAAACTATTACTATATGACAAATTTAAAAAATAACATAGCATAAAGAATGATAATTTTCAAGACTAAAAGTGATTAATAACTTGACAAATAGAATTGAAAATCAAGATTAAGGTTAGGAGAACCACACATATCATCAATTATGTGTTGAAAATAATTCTTTTATTAAAATGCCTTCATCAAAAGAGTTAGATTATTATTGTAAATTAATTAGGCATATGGAAATAGAAATATTTTTTAAAATAAATAATATTTTAATTTTCTAAAATGATAAATATTTTAAAGAATATATATTTTTAATATAAATACTAAAAGCCCTAAATATTAGTTAAGAAATTAAAACGGTTTTTAATTAAAATGTTATTTTTGAGCCCTCAAAAAATCATGTTATTGATATATTTTATGATAATTTTCGGTGTATATATCTTAACGTAGCTTTTAATAAATACTTTCTGATTATTAATTGAGTATTGATACGTACGACAATTTATACAACTATATATCATCTTTTATTCTCTCACTCTCATCATTTATTTTATTTCAAACTTTATCTTCTCTATCTTAATTTTATTTTTTTATACAAGTATTATTTATTTTATTAATTTAAGATGCTTTGACACATTAATAGTTTGTAATGAACATAAAAACGTGAAAATTAAATGGTTTAGAAAAAAGACAAACTAAAAATATTAGTATATCCCTGATTGACTTATTGCAAATAACATAATGCATTAAATAGTATACATGCCACTTGAGCTATCATTGCCAGGGATCAAACTAACAATCATGTTCCACAATTTTATTTTGTCAAACTTAATGGCTATAAATAAAATCGATTAAAGATATCCCTTTTCCTTGCAGCATTCAATTGCATCCACAAACATGTCCTCGATGCTATACTTGAACTCAAAACCAGCATCCTCGAGTTTCTTGGAGGTTAAATGTGGTAACTTGGCACCTTTAATTTGCTTCAGCTCTCTAAAGGAAGAAAATAAATTAAATATTAGACAATGATATCAAAATGAGATAGTAAATATCATGGTTCTAAAAAAATGTTCCACGACTATAATTGTGATCGCAACATTATGATTTTTGAAGTCTATTTTGTGACCATAATTTGTACCTATAATATACATTTAACAAAACATTTAATTTTACAGGAAGATGGAGAATAGAATTACTCACTCTAATACCGTTGGCATTTTATATTCAGGGTATTTGGCAGAGAGAATTTGATAAATGTCTTCAATGGGTACAATGAATGGTGAACAATTATATCTCCCTTTTGGATTAGGATGCTCAAGCAAGAATATATGTGCTCGAGCCACATCATCCCCGTGTACCATATGGTAACGAGTGATACCAATTTCTTCCTTCTTTCCTGCACAACATCAATTTCATTTTACCAAAAACTTAAAAGGATCTTGAAGTATATATTCATAAAGTATTTTCCATGTAGCCCACATAATGACTATTGAGAAGACATTTTAATTGTAAAATCTTTATTAGTATATTATTAAGGTGCAACTTCAATTATATATGATACAACAGTACAAAATAACTTTTAAAGAACCGAATATAAGTCTTATATTTTCTTGAAGCAAGTGTATAATCTTTTTAAAAATAAAAATAAATAAGTTTAATTACACTTTTTGTTATTTAATTTTTAAATTTTTACATATTTTACCACTTTGTTACTTATTAATTGACTGTCTAAAATTGTTAGTTAATTACTAAGTTAACACATTGATTATTTAAATAACATATTGATTGTTGATGTATCATGTTAACTATTGATGTGATATATTATATCATAACAACAATCCAATTTAGTAATCAATGTGACACATTAATAATTAATTTATCATGTCAATAATCAACTAAAAATATAATACTCAACAAATATGATGACAAAATATGTGAAAATTTGAAAGTTAAGTAATAAATATACGCAATTCAAGTGTTATGTTACGAAATTCGTGATATTGTGAAACAAAGATTGCAAAAAAATATAATCAAGTCTATGGAATATAACTAAACTCTCATCTTAGAGTCATAATTGACCTTCAAATTATTTAAATCAAATTCATCTTACATGTGAGTTTGAGTCTAACTTAACTTAAATATTTTAATAACAGGTGATCTAATAAAATAACTGCTAAAATAAATTCTATTATCTTAAATATAAATTTTAACTTAATTCAATTTTATTAAATTGATTTATAACACTAAGATTATCTTCTACTTATATACACTATTTTAATCTGACATCACCAAATGACAAATAATACAACATCAATTCTTATATATAAGACTCGTATACATAATTCACAAAAACTAAGAAAAATAGTCAATTTTAATTGATAATAATAAATTTGTTATATTTTTATATTTTTTTTCTAAAACTATCCTTGTACAGCTTTTTCCGATTAATTAATACACAACTCTCTCTTAATCAATTAACCAATCAGAATGTGCACTATACTACCTTTTTTTAAAAAAAAAAAATTTATACTCAATACTTACTTACTCTCTTAACCAATTAAAATACATATTTTTTTAAAGAGTTTATATAATTAATATATTGTGTTGAATTAAAAAAACATATTTTAATTTTAAAATATCAATAAATAAAACACTATAAATTATATGTTATAAGTTATATCTTAGAGTATCTGCAATGGGGGTTGCTTATAAGTAACTCCCTGTGCCACATCAGTGCCATGTCAACTCTGGTCCACTTTATGAGTTGCTTAAATTTTAGCAGAGTTGCTTGTACAAGCAACTCTGCTAAAATTTAAACAACCCATAAAGTGAGTCAGGACTGATGTGGCACAGGGAATTGCAGGTGCTCTTATAAATAAGAACGAGTGTATACCTACTACCAAGACCAGTGCCTTTTCAATGGAATCAGGAAGCTTGGGACAGATGAAACGTCCAACAACAAAGGGAGGAATGAGAGTGACAACATCCAAGCCATGTAGTTCGCCAAACTCAAGTGCAGCCTTCTCAGTCAACGTCTTGGAAATGGCATAAGACCAACCATAGGGCTTCCAACTTCTAAGAAAGTCGACATCACTCCAATCCTCCTCATCCACCACATCTTTTGGTTCGGGGCCAACGAAGGAAACGGCAGAGGCACTAGAAGTGTAAACGACCCTCTTCACGGTCTTTGACTTCAGGCACGCTCTCAGAATGCCTAGGGTTCCATCCACAGCTCTTTTGGTCAACGCTTCTTCAGGCTCCGTCAAGTTGAAGTCGATTGGGGTGGCTGTGTGGAAAACCCCAATGCAACCCTCCACTGATGGACCAAAGCTTTCTGGGTCGCTCAGATCAGCTTCGAAAATTTTAAGCTTTTCCGATGCATCAGGGAGGTTTGTCAGGAAGCTAACATCTCTCTTGCGTTCTGTTAATGTCCAAATACAACAACGCTGATGATTTTATATTTAAGTCTCTATATACAAATCATATTTTTATACTTTAGTCCTCCTTAATTTGTAATATGCTTTTACAACGCGAGAAAACTAATAAATTATTGGTATAAAGCTTGAAGAGGAGAGTTATAATAATATTGGTGTAACTTTTACTAAGTATTATAATTTTATATTAAATGTAAATTTTGTAAATTTCAACCGTTAGATTGAAAGTTTATATCATTTTATATGTTTATATTAAGTTTTGTTAAAATTAAACAACAACTTGAAAGTAATCATAGTGTTTATATTTTAGTATATTTTAAAATATATATATATGTTATGTCAATTTTATTTTATAAAAATAAAATATAAAATTTATATTTAATATAAAATTATTAAATTATGTAATAATTAATAAAAGTTAGGTTAATGTTATTATAACCCTTCTCAACTTTTTAAGATATAGAAAGTAAAACAAAAATTTTGAGGCAACACAAGGACTGAATAGTTAATTAAATCTAATAATAAGAATAATAAGTGTTATCTACCTGGATCTGGTCTAATAGTGGTATTAACAGCGTATCCATCTTCAAGGAGTCTCTTGATGATCCATGAAGCAATGAACCCTGTGCCTCCGGTCACACAAACTCTACCTTTTCCCTCAGCCATTTCTGTCAGTGTTTACTTTTCTTTGTGAAGCACTTCTAATACGATTCATGTGATTTCTCTGTATGTGTATTTATAGCATGACAATAATATTGGTTTGAATGTTTGATTGGTCTTGCTGTCACTTGAGTCATGTTTTTGTTTTTGCTATTGGACTATTCTTCCAGTCAAACATCGTGATATCATGTTAATCGGTTTTCTTCATTCAAAGAGACAACATCAGTTATGGTTATCCAAGATCACCAGACTCTTAAGAGATAAGGTTTTTTTAGCTAGCTACAATTTTTAACTGCTCTCAAATACTGAACTCACTTATACAGCTATAATATTTTAACATACGTCTCTTTTTTTTTTTCTTCGTCTTATTTATTATATTTTTTTTTCAGTTTTCTATTCCTTACTTTCTTTTTTCAAAGTATATTCTTAAAACAAGTAGTTGATTTTATTAGAATTAAATTTGATTTTGTTATAGTTAAGATCTTAATTCAAATTTTGTGGATGAAAAAATTGTAAATAAGGTTAGTCTTGGATGGTTCCAATGAAATAAAAAGAAAAGAAGGAAAAGAAATGTATTTGCCCTTTTATAGTTAGCATTTAAATAAGAAAAAAAATTTGGTAGACTCCAAGAAATTATATTATTTTTTAATTTGAAAAGAAAAGAAGAGAGAAAAAGTGAAGTTAAAAAATAAAAAAAATAAAAAAAAATCTTTGGCTAATTTTTATTATTAATTTTGCTTTAATTTTATAATAAGTGTAACATTGTCATCTCATTATCCTGTCATTTGATTTGATAGTTACTACTGATAGTTTTAGGGTTAAGGAGACTCTAAGGACACGTTAATCTCTAGAGAGTTAAGACTAGAGGTAAGTAGAGCTGGCTCAAGAAAGATATAGAAGGAAGATTTTTCAAAGGAAACTCATAACTTAAAATTCTTAAGAACTTTAGAGAAAAGTTAGAGAGTTTCTTTCTTTCTCCCTTTCTTAATTTTTCACTTGAATCCTTCCTTCTCTACCATTTCTCAGCTGATCATAAGAGGTGGTGAAGAAGTTCGAGCTCCAACCACAGGAACCTCAAGCCAATGTTATGCGGAGTTGCTTTTCTTCTCCTCTTGCAGATTTGAGTCTCCAAAAGGTAATGAAAGTTGTGATTTCGAATTAGGTGTGCAATTTGTGTTGGTGATGATTGGAATGAATCAATTTAAGGTGTTGAGTGATTGAACAATGAAGTTGAAAGGGGTTTTGTGGGTTGGGTGTTCATGGAGGTTCATGCTTGAGTTTGATTGATTTTAATTGCATGTTGCTTTTGATTGTGAAATCATATTGTATATATGCATATTATTATGTTACATGTTGTTGGAAATTTTTGATTTTCAAGAAATTGGGTTCTACATAAGTGCAAAATCTGATATCACATTGAGCACATCTTCAAGGCACTAAGCGTGGTTCTAAGGAGGGGCCTCTATCTCACTCATGCTAGGCGCAAGATTGGTGGTACTAGGCGTGAGGAGAAAGACTCGTTTTTGTTTGAGTTACATTAGACATTAAGGTGTGTTGCATCGGGCATGGGTGTTGTCATGTCGAACGTGAGAGTGTGGGACACTCTCTGCCTCAATCACGTTCGACACGAGTGGTGTGATGCCGACATGAGCGAGATAAGGAGCTCCTTGCCTTGGTGACGTCGGACGCCTAATAAGTGGCGTTAGGTGTGAGTTGGATGATTAGAAATTGTTATTTAATAATGTTTTATAATTGATTGATGATAAATGAGTTGTATGATGTAAAGTTGATTGTTTAATAGTTGTTTGACAAATAATTTATCATGATGTGGTAAGTTGAACATGTTGTGAAGTTGTAAATTGTTTTACGTTGTCTTCAGTTGATTTCTGATGGTGTTTATTTACAGTTGTGAATCTTACAAAGATGTATGTAATTTATGTTGATTAAGTAATATGTTGTATAGTTAAAGGTTGAACATTGTGTAAATTGTATGTTGTTAAAGTTATTAAGTTGATAAGCTACAAACATGTGAGTTAGATATATATCTTAGTTACGATACATAAAAACTATAGGGGAGTTAAAGATGTTTTTGAACTTAATATCTCATTGTGTGAATATATGTTGTGGTGTTTCGAGAATCCAGTTGAACAATTTAGCAAGTAAATTGGCCTTTGAATGAGTAAGTTGTTTTTTAGTTATCTCCTCTAGGTTCTTTCTAGTATCCATGTGAGAGCAAGGTTGAGACACGTGTATAAAATGATCAATCGAGTAAAGTATTAAGTCAAGGACTTAATCTCTAACCTAGTATCAAAGGGTTGTGGTATTTAGAGGGTAATCGATGGGCTAATTCCATAGATGACCTAATTTTGCAAACTAATGTCGTGGTAGATCCGTACCCAAACTGTTTTATTTTAATATAGTACCATACTTTCTTGTTTAAGTACTGGTGAAACTTGAGAAATCAATCTAGCTTATGCTAGGCGTTATTTCTAGTCTTATGCTAGTCATTGTTCCTACCACAGTGTCAACTGTTACTTCTGCTATTATACCAGCTGTTGTGATTCGGTAGAATCAAGCCACTTAAATTGTTCATCATGTATTGTAGGAGATCTTTGTAGTTGAAATGTGTGACGATGCATTAGATGACGTATATGTACAATGGTTGACATGATGAACATGTTGTGAGATGTTAAGTTGCTATGATGATATCGTGTTTATGTTGAAATGTTTTAATATGATGATACTTTTATAAATTATTATGTTGAATTCTTTTCACAAGCTTACCCTGTGTTTTTCTTGTGGTTGGAACTACGATGATCATACGTTATATGAAAACAAGACATGATTAGCGAGATGCGAATAGAACAGATAGCCACAATAGCAATGCGAAGCAAAAAAGTGTTAACAAAACCTTGATTCATATCTGATGAGCTGCAATAGTGTGGGAATAAGTAACAAAGAGTTCACCCCTCTGCAAAAGACAAAAAAACGATTCAGTAACAAAGGAGAGGGAGAGAGTTTACAGAAAAAAAAAAACGAAAAGTGATGAAGAGTGAATGCGCACGGTGTGTCTGACACTCTCTTATTCAATTTCGCGTCCTTTTTTTTCGTCGGACATGGTAGGGTCTGACGTAAAATGTCAAATCTACATCGGACACAACATACATCCGACGTAGATTTGACATTTTACGTCAGATCATACCAGGTCCGACGTAAAAAAGTTCACGAAAATTACAAAAATAACACCGCGTCTTTTTTACGTCGGATTTTCGTATTTCCGACGTTAAAGAGGTGACGTAATATACTAATTTTTCACTAGTGCTACTCTTATATAGCTGAGTTTTGTATAAATGATGACCGACTTTTAGATTTATTTTGCAATTGGTATTGTATATAGTATGTATATATTTGAGATAAACTACTAGTTGTATTGTAAACTCTAATTCTGATTAACCTTCCGCTATGTTGTAGATACTCAGTAACAAGTGTGATGACTTACTAGGTTGTTACAATAAATAATAAAATATTTTTTATAAAGTTATTATTTTCTTGATTTATCTTATGTCTTAACTAGTAATTTTTTTTTATTATTTAAAACATATTTTATGTTATTATTATTTATTATTATGTCATCTTTGTTTAAGGATATTTATATCATTTAATAACTATATTTTTTTCCTTCTTATTTTCTCATCAGCCAAATAAGATGAAGAAAAAAAAGAAGAAGAAAATTTTTACTCTTTTTTATTTTCTTTTGTATCAAACAACTAAAAATTCATCTCGCTCTTTTTTTTTTTTTCACGTTCTTTCCTTCTACTTTTTTTTTCTTTCTCAACAAAACAAAGGTATAATGTGGGATAGTTAGATTCTCTAGTACTCATCAATAGTTATAATAATAATAATAATAATAATAATAATAATAATAATAATATTAAAATTTAAAATTCACTTTTCTTGATTTAACTATTGATTTAGTCTCTCAATTTTTTTATATTATAATTTTAGTTTTATTAGATTTTAAAATTAAGCAATATTAATCTACCATTAACATGCTATTTAAAATTAAACAAAAATTATTAACAAGTATTTATAAATTTTTTGTATGTAATTTGTTAATCACGTAGAAAAATAGTACAGTAAAAAATAAAATAAAAAAATTTAATCATAAATTTTAATTAAAAAATAACATATATGCATAAAAATCAACATGGTTTTTTATATGTAAATCAACATAACCAACATGATTAAGTAACTACCAAATAATATCTCTCAAGAACACTTTAATATTTTTGTTTAATTTTAAATGACACGTTAATAATATAAAGTACTTGCTTAATTTTAAAACTAAATTTGTAATAATAAAAAATTGAAGTGTACCTTAGAAACAGCCGAATAAAAAAAATTAACCTAAAATAATATCTTCTAAGCAAGAAAATTAGTTATATTTTAAATATAAAAAAAATAAAAGAATAGAACTTGGCACACATAACCGAGTGTCACTTGCTGCGTATTCTATTTCTACGGCTGCAGGACGCAGTGGACGTTGCCTTAGCCGCCATGCCATAACCTTTTAATTTTTGGCGTCAATTTCTTTATTCATTTATTATTATAGACTTAATCACCTATATACACTGTCAGTGTAAACTTTTTTATATTAACAATTAATTATATTTTTTAATTGTATTATATCAATGTTAAGAGTAAATATGTTTATAGTGACGTGATACGATATAATTGATTACTATTATAAAAAAACTTTACACTAACAGTGTATAAGTGATTAACTTATTATTATAATAATTGTATAAAAAAGAATAAAATGAAAGTCCAATTTGTACAACTCCGAAAATATTAGCCCGTTGATGTGAATATTCAAACTAGAATAAAATATTTGATATCTTGTCGACAAATGTCACAATTCATCCGTAACTTTGAAAGGTTTCGGATTTTTTTATTTATAAAAATAGTTGGAATTACAAGGATGAGTTTTATTAAAAACTAGAAAATGGTGCTTTCATCTTCCACAAATATGGATTTAGTAGGAAAAATTGGGCCATTCAGCTATACGAGTGTTGTCTGAGTTTAATAAAAATGAAATTGGAACAACGGTCGCGTAGTCTTTGAAGTTTAATTTTTAAGATATCTAATAATTAAGTTGAATACGAAACAAGTTTGTTAGAGACTAGAGTAACCATTGATTAAGGCTAAGGGCTTGAATTGTAGTATTCTATAATGATTCTTAATTTTGGTTTGAATAACTTTCGGTCCCTATAAAATAAGGTCTTCTGTTTTTAATCTTTTAATGTATTTTTTTTTTCATTTTATCTTTGTAAAAGTTTTTATTTCATTTTTTTGTCCTTATCATATGGATGGTTAAATTTAATAGAAAAAAGTAAAAACAAAAATATATGAATCAAAATAGAAAAAGGCCAAAATGAAAACAACTACAATTTAAAAGGACAAAAAAAAATTAAAAGAATTAAAATAAATCAACCTTATTTACTTGAGTCAAACTTATTAAATTTAAACTTTTAAATAAAAAAATGCACTAATACATAATATTAAAAAAAAATAACTATAACAAATGTATTGATGACTAGCAATAAAATTATAAAAATTAAACGAACAACTTCATAAAATTATATAATAACACAATTATCCTTATAAATGTACTAAAAGTAAATATAAGAATTAAGTAGAATAAAAAACTAAACATAAAATAAGATAGAGATAAAAAAAATAAATCATGATGTGTTATATATTACTTATTTTGACATCTCTATCAAATGATATTTTATTTTTAGGCTAAAAACCTAATTTAGTCCCTTATAATCTTTTTTTCTACTTGATATTCTATTTTGATTTTATTAATTTAAATTGATGGATAATTATAAAAGAGGAGGGTTCAAACGACACCGGTGTAACTTTTACTAAGTGTTACACCGCTTAATAACTTTATATTAAATGTGAATTTTGAAATTCCAACCGTTAGATTGAAAGTTCGTATCTCTTAGATCATATATATCAAATTTTATATTAATCTAAGATGATTTGATACTTCTTTCTCATAAAACAAAATTGACGTAATATATACATTTTAAAATATACCAAAATATGAACACTTTGATTACATTCAAGTTGTTGTTCAAATTTAACAAAATTTGACATATATGATCTAAGAGATATGAACTTTCAATCTAACGGTTAGATTTTCAAAATTCACATTTAATATAAAGTTATTAAGCGGTGTAACACTTAGTAAAAGTTACACCGGTGTCGTTTGAACCCTCCTCATTTATATATATATATAGACACCACTTAAGAAAGCAGAGGCATTGACCCACAAGGAAGTAAGAAAAGGTATCATACGATTCCTATCCCCAAAAAATTTTACATGCAAAGACACGGTTGAAACAATTTTCTCCAACCACATAAACCTCAAGCCCATAAAGATAAGAACACATGCAACTAGTTTTCCCAAAACCATGATAATCAAAAGAGAAGAAAATCTCAGTGGGAGGACAAATCCAATGCTCATCAAACAACTTTATTGTCAACTGTCTAGCAAACTCAACACAAAAGAGGATGATAAGTAGTTTCTGAACTCCAATATACTTAACAGTTTACACAACATTGGAGATATAGCCAGATATGAGCTATGCATTTGAGGATCAACTGTTGAGTGTTGAGATTTTAATCTATAAATTTCATAAATCTGATTCTATGTTTGAAAGACTCACCTAATGACATATACATACTTCATTCATGCTTCAAAATGCATAGAAACATCCCTTCTTATAGAGATATACAAGGCTCATGTTACTTGTTCAATAACTTATGTCCAACTTTTTGACTACTTTTGTACACATACAACTTGGAGTCTTGGAGTGCATTTTTAACTGAACCAGGATGATTATTAATTAGTATATTAATGACTACTCAGCAGACAGAATCAAGAGAAAATACTATCACTAAATAATAAATATCTAAAGATTTCGAATACAAATCAGAAAACTATATAATTATTGAGGATAATCCATTGATATCACAACCATAAGGTACACATGCCACAACCATGTGGCATAATCAGGAATATACACATTTAAAGTGAAGATAATATGGTCCTACGAGATAGATTGGAAATTGGAGAACATGATCAGACAATCTACTAGATTGTGTCATATTTGCCACTTGCGGCACAAATATTCAATTATCTATCATCATTAAAAATCTTCTGTCACTACAATTACAAAATCAAGTTACGGTAGCCTTCAAGATAAAACCCAATCACGGGGAATTTAGCATAGTGATAGACACCAACTGGTATGAGAATAAGGACTGAATTTTATTCAATTTAACTGGTACATGATACAAATTACATAGGAAATTTAGTAAACTGATTTGAGTACAAAGGTTCCCTCGCAAGATGTTCGAGAAAATATACTAAAATATGAACACTTTGATTACCTTCAAGTTGTTGTTCAATTTTAACAAAATTTGACATATATGATCTAAGAGATATGAACTTTCAATCTAACGGTTAGATTTTCAAAATTCACATTTAATATAAAGTTATTAAGCGGTGTAACACTTAATAAAAGTTACACTGGTGTCGTTTGAACCCTCCTCATTATAAAATATTTGTATGTTAATTTAAATTAATAAAATAAAATATCAAATAATTTTATTACTTTTTATTTGTTATATTTTCTTCATAACTTGATAACTTGAAGGTGATTGTTATTTTATTGGATGAATTTTATTTAGTTTAATGTTTGAGATTTGATTTATTTAAATAATAATTAAAAATAAAATATTTATTATAAATTAAAGTTTAAGCCTTATAAATTTAACTTAAATAGAAGTTTAGTTCTTTTAAAATAAAATTATTTTAATTTTAATCATTTTACTTTTTTTTTAATCCTCATAATTTTAACTATTTTCATTTTAGGCTCTATAATTTTCTCGCTTTTATATTTTAGTCATTATTTTTTTTATTAAATTTAATAGTCAATCTAGCAACAAAAATGAAAATAAAACAAATAATTTTTACAAGGACAAAAAATGAATTTTAAAAAAGAATAAAATAAAAAATTTCCTATTTTATGGGATCAAAAAGTTATTTAAGTATTTATTATTTATAGATGAATTGTATGTACATAATTATTTAGTTGTGTTTGAAGTAGTCTAGAAATAATTAAGATCACAATAAGACAACAAAAATATCTTCCATTATAAATTAATGGGATCACACAAGTTGTAATAATAATCTCACAAAAGATATTGGTGGCTAAACTCTCCTTTGAATTTGTCTCTCAATAGAATTTATCTCTCACATGCAAACAATGAGATTTTCTCTCAAAACTTTCTACATTTTGGTTTCTTCTTAATAGAAATAAAAACATACATGACTTTTATAATCAACATGCGTAACAAAATAGATACTATAGTTTAAGGAGATTTTTTCTTCTTCTCTCTTTCATTGAGTCCTTTAAAAATCTCCTGTACCTTTTTTCTTTCCATTTGCTATTTTATTTTTATTTATCTCTCCTTTTTCTTTCCTCGTAAAGAGTAAAACCCATCACCAATTAAAGAGAATTGTTATAAAAAAAAATGTACTAGAGAGTGTGCTACTAAACTTTTCTTACTCAACTTTATAGTAAGTTGAAAAGTACTCTAGCGAAATGATAGAAATACTATATATTCATTGAAATTTTAAAAAATTACTAGAAAAATTGTATTCTAAGTCGGTTATTTTGCCATATCTACATCGGTTTTAAAATCGACTTAGATAAGGCCGTCGTAGATGAATGAACATATCTACGTCGGTTGCGTAAAAACCGACTTAGATGTATTTATACATCTAAGTCGGTTTTTACAAAACTGTCTTAAATATGTACATACATCTAAGTCGATTTTTATCAAAACTGACTTAGATGTATATATACACATCTAAGACGGTTTTTATTTAAAACTGACTTAGATGTGCATATATACATCTAAGTCGGTTCTTGCTTAGAACCGTTGTAGATTGTATTTTTTTTAACCTGGTTAATTTTTAAAATAAATCTGATTCAATTATAAATAACCTGCAAAAATTGATTCAATTATCCAATGCAAGAGAAACCAACAGAGACTAATTTGGGATCGTTATCATTATAGAAATGACTCAATTACATCATTATATAATATATATCTCTTACAAGGAGAAGAGAAGATCAAAAAAATTAGGTCACACTACATTAGATATGCACTGGGCAACCTAATACTGAAACCACATTCACCTATTTCTAAATTTTACATGTAATACTAGACCTTTCAACATGATCTATTTCTAAATTTTTATGAAAACAAATTTCTCCAATGAATCCGAATGTCTTCCAATTTGGTTTCCCCCAATGGTGTAGCATCTTCAAAAAGCTGCAACATATATACATCATATATTAGTTACATCATAAAAAACATTAAAATAAATATTTTTAAATAAATAAAATATTAAACAAGAGATGTGAGTTGTTCAATCATTCTCTCTGGTCTTCCCTTTCTCTCAGAGATATTAATTTATATCAAATAAACCCTTGGTTGAAGATTTGGTCTCAAGAAATAAATTATTTAGTATTTTTTTGGTTTCTTTATAATGGTGATGATGCTAAAATTAGAACCTGAGATCTCATACATATTATCTAACTCCCACCAATAAATATCAATCTTAATAGTTATTTAGCATTGAGTTGTAGTAACATATCCTGCCACTTTCATTTTAAATCTAATTACTAAAACTAGAATGAAATTAATCTCCCCCCTTCTCTACAAAATATTAAAGACTTTACTATCATGGAAGTAAAAATGTGTACATAAAAAAAAAAGAAGTATATATATGTTGTGTATCCTTAAATGCATTAAAAGTTACCAGTTGAATGTTATTAAAAAAAAAAAAATTTACCTGTTCGATTATAAAATTTAAATATAATTTTATTGTCGATCCAGTTTGAGAAGGCTCAAGGATAGTTCCAAAGCCAACAGTTTGATGGACTTGGATAAAACCCGGGCACAGCACATTAAAGCATCCAGCAGATTTTTGATCTCCTTGGACCTAAGAGTATATATTTCATTACCACAAAATATGTAAATCATTAAAGAAATTAATTCAGACACGAAATAATCTAGAAAAATAATATGTTGCATTCCTTACTTTCCAAAAGCCAGTTAATCTCGTTTTACTGTCTCCATATAAGGCTGGAGACACCTGATATATGCATCGGATAATTAAAATGATAAGAATAGTATATTTATAGGGATTCAAAAAGATTAAAAGAGAGACTTTAATTGAGGAGTTATAAATTCCTCCTTAATTTAAATAAACAAATAGAAAATATAAAGAAATGATGAGAAGCCTGTGAGATTGCCACCAAACCAAGTCACTGCAGTATTGCAGTCTGCGCATGAGTCATGAATACTGCTTCACAAGATCCGTCTCAATCGCATATTACTTCTATTTTAAAATAATATATAATTCTTGAAAAATCATTAGTTATGCAAAGTAAAGTAAAATTAAAAAAACTAAAAGTAAAATGCATATATAATGGGTTTTACTTGCCACTCACTCAAAGAAAGCGGCGGTGTGGGACTGTGTGAACTAGGCACGTCCAAAATAAAGAAAGAGTGGATATAAGATGTTTTTGGTCAGGGCTAAAAAATTATGACAAAATTGGGCTTAAATTTATTAAAGCTGCTATATATCTAAATGTGAAAAACAGAAAGACACAAGTGTAATTATCGTGTGGTTGGATTTGTACCAATCTCCAATGAGAACAATGTAATCTCCAGAGGGATCAGGGAAGGGTACTGGAATTCTTGGTCTGCTGAGAATCCTGATGCCTCCAAAAGCTGGTGAAGTATCCCACGAGACAAACACTAAACAATTAGCTAAAGCGAAGTTAGCAAATTTATCTACAGGTTGATTTCCTTCTTTAAAAAAGTGAGATATATGAAATCTCATGTGAGCACATAAGGAGAGACATTTATGCCACCGCACCTTTAATGATCCAAGACACCAAGGATGGATTCTCTTAAGCAACCAAAATCAACATAGAGTCACATTCCAGCCAAAGACTATTCCAACCTACTTCACGTGCATGTTTCACTGCAACTAGTTCAACACATAACGATAAGAATATCAATATAAGATGCCAAACCACCGAAAAATGTGCCCAAACTATCTCGATGGATACCATCACATGCAGTATATCTTGGAGAGCTTAGAACACTACCATCCATATCACATTTAATAAATCCTTGAGTAGGGCATACCAATTCTCATGTTCCATTCGCATACATGGGTTGCAGAAGTGCTTCCCAAGACCAGCTCAATTCCCTGCCGAATCTACCATGTTCAATTTTCTTTTATTACTACTATTTGATATTTGTTTTTGGACATACATTCATGAATCACACATAGTGAATGATACACTAGTAACTGAACAGCAACAAACTAAATATCTAAAGCAGCTACATGATACAACACTAATTGAAAAAGTAACAAAATATAATATTGAACACTGAAATCACACCCAATATAGCAAAAGACTTGTCCCAAAAGCAAAAGCAAAAGACTTTAAGGTAATGAATGTTCAGCCAAATATTTGTTTCCCATCTCTGTTTCAAGTAGACAAATGACAAATTTTTATAAATGACGAATGCAAAGATGAATGCTAAAGCTTAAACTATTTATTTGTCCATAATGCTGAAAAATACTTAAAATGTCGAAACTCAAAAACCCTTGGTTGGAAGTGCTCTCACAAGAAATTAAAATAGGCAAAGTCTAATTTGAAGTTGAGAATGATTACCGTAGAAATGCAGAGAAGAAGAAAGGAGTGTCGGTGCCGTTGTTTGTTGGCGAAACGACGTCGCACGGAGAGCGAAAGGAAAGCGTGATCGTGCTTCGTTTCTCAATAGCTTAGGAAATAGCGTGAGCGTGCTTCGTTTCTCAATACCTTAGGAAAGTTGTCTTGTGCGGTGTGCGCAGTGATAGTCAAAGAGGCTTAAGGGGGAAATGCTTCGTTTATGAAATAATGTTAGGGCAAATTCTTCGAGACTGAACGGCGCGCATGAATGGAGGGGGAAGACATGAATTTTGGGTCTCCATCTAAGTCGGTTTTACACAAAAACCGTTGTAGAATACTTCACATCTAAGTCAGTTTTACCAAAAACTGTCGTAGATATACTAGTATTAACTTCTTTTATTTATAAAAATGCTACCGCATCTTATTCTACATCATTTTTCAGTAAATCGACTTAGATTGAGCAACTTAGATTATTCTTTTTGTAGTAGTAAGGACATTTTTACAATTTATCATGTGATTATAAACTAGTTTGTAGTCTCGTGTGATGCATGAGGATATGAATATATTAATTAATATAAATTTATTTTTGAATTTGACAATAAGTTATGATGAATGGATATAATTTAAAAATTAATAACACGAACACAATATATACCAATAAAAGAAACAAAATATAAACATATAAATTAAGAATAATTACAACATTAACCAAATATTTTGATAATCTCAAATGTGATATCAAATCACTCAATTTATAAAAATCAAATAACTCAAGCAAATAGTTTAATACATCAAATTGAACAAAGCATACCTCAAAAATCTTTAAAATAGTAATAATAAAAATTATTTTTTTTACATGATGGAATGATTTATACCGCTCTTTCCATATTTGTGTTTTTCACCATTCATTATCTTCTTCATCCTCTACCACTTATGATCTCATCCACAAATAAACAATCACTTTCCATTGGTCTTTTGTGTTTAAGTAATGATGACTTCTAATCGTCGAAGTTAATGACATCCCATTATGCACAAACAACACAACAAACAACTTCTTCCCTCAAAACTCCTTTGAAATCAATGACATCTAATTTTTTTTCATGTAAACCTACACTCAAATGATATATGATGAAATAAAAATGAAAATCTAAAATAATAGAGGTAGTTTCAATGAAAATGAAGAAGTGTTATACAAGATAATTTTAGTTTGTTAATGGTTGAAAAATATATATAGTTTGATTGGATAGAAAAAATGTGAAGAAGCAAAAAGTTTGAGAGTTGAAGTTGTAACTTACATTTGATCTTTTCATTTTTTGTAATCGAGTGTTTCATTAGAAATATGGACAATTGCAGAATACAAATAGATATGAGTTAAATGCATATTAAAAAAGAAAATGTTAATAATTATAAGTTAAATGTATAGTTTAAATTTCAATTTCAATTACTAACTATAATTCATAATACAACAAATTATTGAATGAAGACAGTTAAGTTTCTGTATTAGAAATGGGACAATCCCTTCGGCCAGGGGATAAACCGAATAACCCCAACATGTGAAGACAAGAAAGCCAGGAATAAATTGATTGATGAAGCAACACGTAAACTATTTGGCTATGGTGCAAACCAAATACCCATCCGGCCTTGACATGACCCAAGCATACACTTGGTTAAATCCTAGAACCCAAGAAAAGATACTTTGGGTAGGACACCAACCGAATACCTATCCGGGCATGGCACAAGCCGAGCACGTACCCGACCAACAAAGAATAAGTTATCTTCATTGATTAATCTGGCCCACGTTAATAGTAAATTAAATAATAAACACCCACGACACCATGAATTAAGATTTAATTTACTAATTATCCAAGTCACAATCAAGAAAGCCCATCAGGCTCAAATACGTCACTATAAATAGGAGATTGATGGGACATGAAAGGCAAGTATGATTATTTAATACTACAATATTTATTGTTCTCTACTGAGTAGTAACTTGAGCATCAGAGTACCTTTACAGATATCTTCCCCCCCTTTTCGGGACAAGAATTTGACAAGTTATCACATCAACTTAGAAGAAGATAAAGTGTTAGAGAACATCAACGTAAGAGTAAGAGTGTTTTCTAGCATGAACAATTTTAATCTGAGCAGTAAAAGAATCCGGAAAGCTTCTTCGCAAAATTTTATATTTCAACTAGTATCCTTTCTGTTAAATAATTTTAAAATAACAAAGGATCACAACTACAAACATTTTAAATTATCTTGTCTATAAACTACGTATTAGGATCTGTTTAACGGTGAGTTTGTTGAACTCACATACATGCATAGAGATGCACACAAAGGTACTAAAGAATGATAAAGTTGAACATCATGATGAGAGGAGGAAGAAGAAAGGAAAAGTGAATGACTGAAAAATACATCTAAGTCTCTCATTTTAGAATGGCAAAGCCAATATATATACAAGAGAAGGAAATTAGAAAATAAACAAATATAACTAACTATATAAGTCATATAAATCCAATACCCCCCTTCAAGATGGGAGGAATATGTTCTCAACTCCCAGCTTGCTAAAATGAGAAATTGTATTCGTACTATATGTATTAGCATAATTATTTATGAAACAAAGAAAAGATAAAAGAGAAGTGTATAATAAAATGGTTAATCATTGATGTGAAGAGATAAAAAGAAAAATAATATTATAAAAAGTGGTCTAGAAAAATAATATTTTTTCTTGAAATGACAGTAACATATTCTAAACAAAGAATTTATCAGTCCCAAAAAATCTTATTTTTCAGTTTTTGAGGATACATGTTTCTTAGGATGCTACCTTGTAGCTCTAACCATGGACCCTAATATCAAATTAAGCCCATTTATGAAACAAAGAAAAGATAAAAGAGAAGTGTATAATAAAATGGTTAATCATTGATGTGAAGAGATAAAAAGAAAAATAATATTATAAAAAGTGGTCTAGAAAAATAATATTTTTTCTTGAAATGACAGTAACATATTCTAAACAAAGAATTTATCAGTCCCAAAAAATCTTATTTTTCAGTTTTTGAGGATACATGTTTCTTAGGATGCTACCTTGTAGCTCTAACCATGGACCCTAATATCAAATTAAGCCCCATGTTGGAGATCATTTACCTAATCTTAGTAGAAACATTGGTTTTTGACATATTATTATTATATAAGACCATACATCCATTATGCAGTTAATAAATTCATCAATTCTCAGCTACCTAGATATACACATTTGCATGTTGTTCGGTGTTCATAATATCCTAATCCTACTATATCAAATTAATTCACCTTTCTCTCTCAAACTCTTTAACAAATCACTAAAATCGACATAGTAACAGAATATAGCAAGGAGTATACACATGATCTCAAATTTAAATTTTGATATTGTTTTTATAATTCAACTAATAAAAAAAACTCCTCAATTTATTAAAAAAAAAAACATATAATCTTGATTCTCCTCTCTAGCATTAGTTATTATGAAAAAGTGAACCTTTTTTCAACCCCAAGTCTTTGGAATTTTTTTACTGTGGAATAACCAAATCTTTGTTTTTCTTTATGAAAAAGGCCTTGGCGGTTACCTTTTTCTATGTGTGAGACTGTGGCAGTGCTACCTGAAGAAAGTGGGCAACCACAGGGCTATGGAAACATTAACTGCGGAAACGAGAAGCAACCATACATTGGCCCATTTTAAATGTACCTGGAGTAAATGCATGTTACCTATTTTTGAATATGATGTCACACTTATCTTCTATTCTACCATAATTAGCACGACTAATTTGATCACAACTCACATGACTTTTATGACTATTTTTTTTTTCTGCTTTGAAATTGAAGATCCCATGACAAGAGTGAGAGTCTTGCAAACTGAATGGGAAACTTCTAAATTATTCCAAAAAGTGTAAACTTGTAGAATGGGTAGGGTAATTTTGTATGTGCCCCCCATCCTTCAAAATTTCTCAATGTTACCCTCCACACCAAGTTAGACTCTGAACCAAAGCAATCAAAAAGGCCTAGAAAGAAGAGAGCCATTTTTCTTCTTCCCTTCTGCTTTACCCTCATATATTGCTGCCCTTTGTAATCATGAGTCCTTGTGCCATCATTGCTATAAAACTCTCTCTCTCTCATACAAGCACAATCACAGCTATATTATAACACTTTTCCGTCACCCTAGTAGTTTCCTACCAAGTTTCTTCTCACCTATAAAAACCCCTTGTAGGCTATTTGTTACACCTCACTACCCCATTTTTTGTTTATTCATTTTTCAGTTTTGTAAGTGAACCTTATCTCTCAAGCTTGTAACTTTTCTTCTCTGAAGAGACTTGGTTTTTTAGAAGGGAAACAGCATGTGCTCTTTCTCTTCAAAACAAACCCTTCATGGCCCTCTCTTTTTGGCACTTCCTCGTCCATGTCCTTCTAAGAGACACCACAAGCACCTTAGGTTGAACCGTCTCAACAGGTACTGTTCTATAGTCTTGGTAGTTTTGTGTGCATGTGTGTTTGAAAGTGGTCTAGAAAAATAATATTTTTTCTTGAAATGACAGTAACATATTCTAAACAAAGAATTTATCAGTCCCAAAAAATCTTATTTTTCAGTTTTTGAGGATACATGTTTCTTAGGATGCTACCTTGTATGAGATGTTGCAAGGGATAAAAGTAACCTGAGAGTGGTTATTTTTGCTACTGGTGAGAAAGTTTCTTGAAAATCCAATCCATATTGTTGAGTGAAGCCTCTAGCAACTAATCCGGCTTAGTGTTTGGCAACAGTGCCATCTGAATTGAGCTTTAATTTGAAGAGCCACTTGCAGCTAATAGGCTTTTTGTCAGGAGGAAGAGGGGTAATGGACCAGGTGTTATTTACTTCCATAGTTGTAAGTTCATCTTGTATTGCCTATTTCCAGTGAGGAAATTTGATGGCTTGCTTATAAGTTTGGGGTTCATAATTGGCTGAAACTTGACAGAGGTAATGTGTATGAATTTTGGATAAATTGGAATAGCTGATGGAGTTTTGAATAGGATAGAGGGGACTGTTATTGGTGGTCACATTGTAGCAGTGATAATCAGAGAGGTAACCAGGAGGATTGAAACTCTGCTGGACCTTCTTGGGTGGTGTTGTTCAGGGGGAGTTGCAGGAGGTATCATGTGTTGTTGTTCTGCAATGTTTTGATTGATGATGGTAGGTGTAGGATCAGGATCATCATAAGATTCGGTGTGTATCAGATTGGGTGTGATGTGATTGTGAAAAA